TCTGGGTGTCTTCTTTAGAGAAGTGTCTATTCATGTTTTCTGCCCATTTCTTCACTGGATTATTTGTTTTTCAGGTGTGGAGTTTGGTGAGCTCTTTATAGATTTTGGATACTAGCCCTTTGTCCGATATGTCATTTGCAAATATCTTTTCCCATTCCATTGGTTGCCTTTTAGTTTTGTTGGTTGTTTCCTTTGCTGTGCAGAAGCTTTTTATCTTCATGAGGTCTATGGGAAGATAGTTAATTAGAGAAGGTCTGAGGTCAATTTGGGACATGTTATCTAAATGATGATATTTAGAAAGTTCTTGGAAATAAAGTCCTTCAGTCCAGAAAAAAGTCTGATTAGGAGATACAGGTGAGGTAGGGGATGATATGGAAGCCAGTTAAAATAGAGTGTGACTTGCTAGGAAGGAGGACACTTTCCTAATGTTTACATTGGCTTGCTGATAGAATTGTTCTTTGTGGCCCTTGATTAGTATTCTTCCAAGTGCTTGCTGTGAGTGAAGTACTATGATTGTTCTGTGCTGCATCCAGAAATACATAATATATGATTACCTGCATTCAGAAGTTGTACAGGTCAAGACAGGTGTGGTAAACATCCCATGAGTGATGCAAGCCAAGTTCTTTAAGAATGTAGGGGGAGGAAAGGATCATTCTTGGTTGAGTGATCAGAAGGGACCATGTTACAAATGACTTTGGAACTGAGTCTAGATTGATAGATAGGATCGCACTAGGAAGTAGAGATGCAAATAATGGGATTGATGGCAAAAGAAGATTGAGGTTTTTGACTTGAGTCACTAAGAACAGTGTGTTACTAAGAGAAACAGCAAAGTGAAGTAGAGGGCATGGGAAGGGGCGCAGGATGATAAATTCTGTTTTACAAGTACTTATCTTGAGGTCACTTTGACACTGATTATTAGAAAAGGCTGTTTTGGGGGTGCCTGGGTGTATCAGTCATTTAAGCATCAGACTTTTTATTTTGGCTCAGGTCATGATCTCACTGGTCATGAGTTTGAGCCCCATGTTAGGCTCTGTGCTGACAGCGAGGTGCCTGCTTAGGATTCTCTCCCTCTTCGTCTCTCTCTGCTCCTCCCCTGCTCACTCTCGTTCTCTCTCTCCCCCTCAAAATAAATAAGCTTAAAGAAAAAAAAATGCCTGTTTTAATGTGGGAAGAGAAGAGAGATCTCTGTTGTGGTTATAGATTTAGATGTTTGGCATCATAAAGAAACAAGATAATCATTGGGGTAATAGGGTTGAGGGAAGAATTTTTTTGCTTTTGCTTTGAAGGTCAAGATGCCTGTGGGAGGACTGGATAAAGAAAGTAGATGAAAGTTCTTAGAAAGAAGAGACATTGACTTGGGAGTTAGGGAAGTAGAGTATGGGCAAAGGTGTAAACATTTTTAAGAAACCAGAGGACATAGTGGGGTGGAGGAGGTAAGATGTGTGTGAAGATAGAAGAGTGCATGCTGTGGTCTGCCTTGACCTCAGTAAACTGGAAGATTGGGATGAAATTAGGGACTTGGGGAGAAAAATAGTAAATTTGGTAAGACAGATTGTAGAGAATGAGGCAAAGATGCTGAGGATTAATAAGATTGCCCAGAAAGAGTAAAAGGTGAGGTGATGCTAAAGTTATACCCCAAAGTTTGATTTGTTTTTCTTAGATCCTTGGGATTCTCAAACTAAAGTAGAAGACCTCTTGAACCCAAGCCTGACCTGATTCCAGGCCATGGATTAACCTCTGTGGAAGTAAGGATTCGAAGGTGAGGGTAGGGACGGTATTCATTTAGGTGTTTGGAGGAACTCAATGTAGTCCAAGTATCCTGGGATCTTTAAAATGTGTATGTGAAACGTTGTAATAAGTTGTATTCATTATCTTATTTACTTCTCACCAAAACCATATATTATTATCTTCTCCATTTCTATAGATTAGGTGATTGAGTTCTAGATTTTAGTTTTATTAGCATACGAGCTAGGATATAACGAAACCTGCTCTGTTTCGTTATAACAGATATAACAGAGCCTGCTCTGTTAACCACTACTCTGTATATCTCTGTCCAATAGAACTATAATGTATGCCATGTATAATTTTAGATGTTCTCATAATCATATTAAAACAAATTTTAAAAATGAAGTTGATTTTAATACTGAGGTAAGCCAGTATATTCAGAACATCATTTTATTTTAAGGTCCATATAAGAACTTAATAAAAGTGTATATTGTATATGTTTTTTTTATATTGAGTTTGAAACCCAGATTGTATTAGAATATCTTAATTTGGAGTAGCCACATTTCAAGTGCTCAGTAGTCACATTTGCCTAGTGGCTACCATGTTGGATAGTGCGGCTCTATATCCTCAGACCTGTGTCCAGTCAGAACCTTGGGTAGAGTGCAGAGGGTGCCTTTTGCTATGATAGCACTAATTTGTCTGAATGGTATGAGAGTGGAGTGCCCTAACTGTCCACACTGTTTTCCAGACTACAATAGCCTCCCAGCCCTTGAGAGCCACAAAAAAAATTGAGAGATGGTTGTTTACAAAGCCACTCTCCCTAAAACTATGTACCCCAGAACTAACTCAAATATGCAGCTTAATTAGAAGTTAATTGTTAGTATTAAAAATTCCCATCATTCCATTCCATAATGACCCCATATCACGATACTGTACATTTTCTGTAGCCTTGTCATTTACAGAAAACTTCATATAGCTTGCTTATTTGATCCTCACAGCAAACCAGTGAGACACTATCCCCATTGATACAGGTAATGAATTGATTTTATATAGAAAGGTAAGTGATTTGTTTCAGTTAACATGTAATAAAGATGAACCTCCAAACACGTTTTTTAAAGACTCCAATCTGGTATGTTTTTCTGCTGTGCTAATCAGATTTGCCTTGTACAAAGCATAATATAGTTCTATTTATTAACGGTGATCAGTTAATATTGCTCAGAACTCAGTATGTTGGCCTCTTCCCATAAATGCATCCCCTAAATTCCTATGTAATTGTTCTAGTGGCTACTCTCCATTTCTTGTTTACCTATTCTTTACATGACTGTGCTGTTTATGTTTTAATTTGCCTGAGAAAGGATCCTAAATGGATATCTTTTTAGTTTGTTTGGCATTGCTGGCATTGCTTTTGTTTGGATTTAGATTCCATAGGATCAAATCATGTGAGCATGTGAATCATGGTAAATTAAAGAAGTACCTAGGGTTCCCCTCTTTCCCATTTTTGGGTCTTGCAATAGAAGAATTGCACTCTTTCAAGTTAGTGTTTTTTCTTTTCCTGAAATCTCTTCTGAAATTAAGCATTAAGGCAGATGCAAACCTTACTCCCTGTATGCTTTACATATGGGATTTCCATATGAGGTTTTTTTTGGTTTCTTTGTTTGAAAGGGTTTTATTAGACAAAGCGTTTTTTAAATTTATTTAAAAATTTTTTTAGTGAGTAGGGGACAGCGGCAGAGTGGGGAAGAGAGAATCTCAAGCAGGTTCCATGCTCAGTGTGGACCTTGATAAGGGGCTCAATCTCACGAGCCTGTGATCATGACCTGAGCTGAAATTAAGAGTCAGGCACTCAACTAACTGAGCCACTCAGGTGCCCCTAGACAAAGGCTTTTTTAGCTAAAACATTTAGTGGCAAAGAGATTTTGGATATATAGGTTCGACTGTATGTAAAGGACCTTGAATGCCAGCATAGAGATTGGAGCTTTGTCTTGGGAAGCTCCATGATTGGAATGATGTTTTAGGCACGGTAGTATAGAAGATAACTATCTGATATGTCTGAGATCTGAGTAGTTTATATTAATGGTAATGCTAGGGTCTAGGTACCCTAATTGCAATAGAGCTCAGTAACTGAAAAAGACATTGGACTCATCATAATGTATAGATGATTAATGATGTTTGAGAATGCCATTAAGGCTTATGACTGACTGATGTCATCCACATCCCAAGGATCCACCTGGTCATTCCTAGCTTGGTAGATCATATACTACACGCATTATAGCACAATTCTTCTTATTGTTGTTTAATTATTACCATAGTGTGATATACTAGCTAACTTCTCTGTGCCTCAGTCTCGTAAGATGGAGGTGAGATTTCTATTTTAAAGAATATCGTAAGAAATAAATGATTTAATACTGTGTGCTTAAAATAGAACCTGGCATACTGGGAAGTTCAGTAAATGTGAGCTGCTATTAATTATTGTTACTATCAGATCTGTTAGGAATGTTTGATAATGTTTATTTTTATAACTTACATTTTATCTTTAGCTACTCTGCTAAAAGCCAGAATGAAACAGTTGCCTGCAGCAACAGTGCGCCTCCTTTCAAGTTCTCAGATAATCACTTCAGTGGTCAGTGTTGTGAAAGAGCTCATTGAAAACTCCTTGGATGCAGGTGCCACAAGCATAGATGTTAAACTGGTGAGTGTCCCTCAAAAGCCAAATACCTTTAAAGCAAAAAAGGGCTGGGCAGATGAGTTCTCCTTACAGCTGTTATCTTTCTCTTTCTATGTATTAGTGAATTATTCTTAGGACATTGCATGTTTTACTTTCTTAAGAGTAAATTCTTAAAAATAAATTTTAACTTAAGTCAATATTACAGTAACACTAAAGGAAATTTTAAAAGAAAAGTTATTCTTTAGGACTCCATCACCAAAAACATGAATCTAATTTGTCCGTATTTTCTACTATTATTCTTTGGTTATGCTTGGTTATTTACTTGTTTTATGCTCATTTGCATTTTATCTTTTCCACAAACCTAATTTCAAAACTATTTCCCTTGTTGTGTCATAGTTGTCACATTAAAAAATTTTAAGTGCTATATATTAAATCATGAGTTAATATGACTTACGATATTGATTTATTACAATTAGTTTGCATGTCTATCTCCCTTATTATAAACTACTAGCTCCTAGAGGTAAGGTATATATTTTTTCATTTTTTGTGTGCTTCATACCTGGCCAGTGCCTGGTACATAATGGTGAATAAATTGTTTGAGTGAATGTAGGAATACATTTTTATATCTTCTAATTATCAGGTATTTACAGTTAGTATGACAGCATAAATGATACTGATAAAAATCTTTATAGCAAAGGCTTTCCTTTTTCAATATATATATGTATATATATATTTTATAGTTTGTATGTGAACTACATATACATGTAGTTGTAATTGCTCCTTATAAAAACTCTGAATTATCTACTACTATACCTGTTTTACAAGTAATTAAGGTTCTGAGAACTTTCCCAAAGTCCTATAATTAGTAAGTAGTGAATCAGATTGCAGTTCAGATCTTTCTGTTTCTAAAACCCATTCAAGATCTTTGCTCTATGCTAGTGGTTTTAATAATGTTTGGGTGCATCAGAATACTTTAGTTACTGGGCCCTAGAATTACATTTGTAACAAGTTTCTAGTTGATGCTGAGAACTGCTGTTATAAGCCATTTCAAACCTGTATTAAAGTTTTTTTTTTTAATTTTTTTTTCTACATTTATTTATTTTTGAGAGACAGAGCACTAGTGGGGGAGGGGCAGAGAGAGAGAGAGACAGACAGACAGACAGACAGAATCCAAAGCAGGCTCCAGGCTCTGAGTTGTCAGCACAGAGCCCAACGTGGGGCTCGAACTCACAAACTGTGAGATCGTGACCTGAGCCGAAGTTGGACGCTCAACCGACTGAGCCATCCAGGTGCCCCAAACCTGTATTTGTTTTCAACAATATACAGTTGGCCCTTGAACAACACAGGTTTGAACTGCATGAGTCCACTTTGATGTGGATTTTTTATTTGATAAATATAGTACAGTACTGCAAATATATTTTCTTTTCCTTACGATTTTAATAACATTGTCTTTTTCTGAATTTACTTTATTGTAAGGATATATAGCATATACTATATGTAACATACAAAATGTGTGTTAATTGACTTTTTGTGTTATTGGTGAAGCTGCTAGTCAATATGAGGCTATTAAGAGGAGGCTGGGAACATGGCGGAGTAAGAGGACCCTAAGCTCACCTAGTTCCACAGATACAACTAGGTAACACTCACATCAGTGTAAATAACCCGGAACAGACTTGAAGGCTGGCAAAACAAACTCCACAACTAAAGAGAAGTGGTAGACAAGAGGCCACATCAAAGACGGTAGGAAGAGCAGAGACGTGGTGGGGAGTGCTCCATGGAGGGGAGAGAACTGCAGATATGAAGAGGGAGGAGAAATAGACTATATTGCACTAGGCAACCTGCATGGGGAAGATGAAGCCCCAAATATGTGGCTTTGAAAGCCAGAGGGGCCAAATTCCATGAATTCTTAAAGCCAGCAGGACCTAAAGCATGGAATTTTAAAAAGCCACATTCTGGGAGAGCCTGGATAACAATAGGAAGTGGAGTCCCTGCCCTTAAAGAGAGCACAACCAACAGCCCTTGGAGTTACAGCATAGAAACAGCAGTTTGAAAATGGGAGGGAGAGTAGTTTACTCATTTCAGAGCATGTCCCGGACAGCAGGGATCACTGTGGGTCTCCTCCCGGAAAAAAGGAATGGGCAGATATCATTTCTCTCCCATATGCCCCAGTGCAAACACATGGCCACGTGTGAGAACCAGCGTGGCACTGACACTACCTAACTTGCTTACCCCATGGCCCCTGCCCCAACACTGCACTTCAGCAGATCCACACTTCCCAGTCACATATGCCTCATTTCTGACATTTTGAGTCCCCTCTCCCAGAAGACCAGTGCAAACCTTCCCAACACTGTATCTTCCAACCTATGCACTATGTGGGGCTTCAGTCTAGCAGCGGCAGCAGGTCTCGTTTTGCAAGCAGACCAGCACTCATCTTGTTAAAACTGTGTGCCCCACAGCAGCCAGGGACCAAATAGTGCCCACAACAGTCAAGGAGAATCTCTGCAGGGTACTGCAGCAAAGAAAAAAGCAGCCAGGATACAACAGCAGGCCCAACACACATAGGAGACACTCCTGAAGTGACACGTTCTGGTGAATAGGGGACACTGCACTGTGGTTGACTTTCCTAACACACAGAAACAGACACAGAGAGCTAGACACAATGAAGAGACAGGATATATGTACCGAATGAAAGAGCAAGGCCAAACCACAGCAAGAAACCTAGGAGAAACAGATACAAGTAATATGCCTGATAGAGAATTTAAAGTAATGATCATAAAGATACTGAACTTGAGAAAAGAGTGGGGGACATCAGTGAGGTCCTTAACAAAGAGAGAAAAAAAGAACAAGCTATAAATAACACAGTAAATGAAATTTAAGAAACAATAGATCGAATAATAGCAGGCTAGAGGATGCAGAGGAGCAAATTAGCAACCTGGAGCACAGAATCTTAGAAAGTAATCAAGCCAAACGGTGAGAGAAAAAATTATTCAAAATGAGAATGGACTTAGAGAAGTCAGTGACTCCATCAAGCATAGTATTTGTACTATAGGGATCCCAGAAGAAGAGAAAAGGGGGAAGAAAATATATTTGAAGAAATAATAGCTGAAAATGTCCTTAATCTGGGAAAGGAAACAGAGGTCCAGATGCAGGAGGCACAGAGATCCCTCAACAAAATCAACCCAAGGAGGCATACATAAAGACATATAGTAATTAAAATGGCAAAAAGTAGTGATAGAGAATTTTAAAAGCAGTAAGAGAAGCCAGTTCCATATAAGGGAAACCCCATAAGGCTATCAGCAGGTTTGTCAGTAGAAACTTGGCAGGCCAGAAGGGAATGGCATGATATAGTCAAAGTGCTGAAAGGAAAAAACCTACAGCCAAGAGTACTCTATTCATCAAGGCAATCATTCAGAACAGGAGAGAGAGAGTTTCCCCATTCAGAATAGGAGAGAGAAAAAGGAATTCATGACCACTAAACCAACCCTCCTATAAGAAATGTTAAAGGGGATGGGGCACCTGGGTGGCTCAGTCAGTTGAGCGCCTGACTTCGGCTCAGGTCACGATCTCGCGGTCCATGAGTTCGAGCCCCGCATCAGGCCCCTGTGCTGACAGCTCAGAGCCTGGAGCCTGTTTCAGATTCTGTGTCTCCCTCTCTCTGACCCTCCCCTGTTCATGCTCTCTCTCTGTCTCAAAAATAAATAAACGTTAAAAAAAATTTTTTTTAATAAAAAAAAAGAAATGTTAAAGGGGAGTCTTTGAGTGGAAAGGGAAGAGCAAAAATAGGAGTAAAAAAAGTGAGAAGCACTAAAGCAGTAAAAATAAGTATGTCTTTAAAACTTGGTCAAGAGTGGGGCGCCTGGGTGGCTCAGCCAGTTGGGCAGCTGACTTCAGCTTACGTCATGATCTCACAGCTTGTGAGCTCGAGCTCCACATGGGGCTCTGCGCTGACAGCTCAGAGCCTGGAGCCTGCTTTAGATTCTGTGTCTCTCTGCCTCTCTGCCCCACCCCCACTCGCATTCTGTCTGTCTTTCAAAAATATATAAACATTTAAATAAAAATAAAATAAAAATCAGTCGAGATTCACAGAAGGATGTAAAATATGACACCATATACCTAAAACATTTGGAGAGAGAAGAAATGGTTCAGACTTAAGTGACCATCAATCAGCTTAATATAGACTGCTATATGCAAAAACCCAAAAAGCCAGTAATAAAAATGCAAAAAATAAAAAGAAAAGAATCCAGGTATATAATTTTAAAGAAAGCCAGCAAACCTTGAAAGAGAGCAAGAGAAGAAAGTATCAGAGAACTACAAAAACAGCCACAAAACAAGTAACAAAATGGCAATAAATATCAATAATTACTTTGAATATAAATGGACTAAATGTTCAAATCAAAAGATGTAGGGTGATGGAATTGATAAAAACCCAAGACCAGTCTATTTTCTGCCAACAAGAGACTCATTTCAGACCTAAAAACATCTGCAGATTGGAAGTGGGGGATGGAGAAACATATTTCATGTATATGATGTCAAAAGAAAGCAGGGGTAGCAATGATTTATGTCGGACAAAATAGACTTTAAAACCAAGACAGTAACAAGAGACAAGGGCACTCTATAATTGTAAAGAGGACAATCCAGCAAGAAGATGTAACAACTAAATATTTACGCACCTAATGTAGCACTTAAATGAGTAAAATAGTTAAAAAGAAACAGGAACTAATTGATAGTAATAAAAAACATAGAGGACTTTAACACTTCACTTAACATCAGTGGACAGATAATCTAGGAAAATCAACAGGGAAACAGTACCTTTGAATGACACACTGGACCAAATGGATTTAACAGATATATTTAGGACAGTCCATTCTAAAACAGCAGAATAGACTTTCTTTTCATATTCCATCCTAAAACAGCAGAATACACTTTCTTTTCAAGTGCTCATCACACATTCTCCAGAATGGATCACATATTAGGCCACAACACAAGTGTCAACATTCAGAAAGAACAAAGTCATACCATGCATC